AGGACTTGAAGCACTTACTGATGAAGATCAAAGACTACAGCCTTCAGTATGGATTACACTTCAACATAAAGAAAACAAAAATCTTCACAACTGGACCAATAAGCAACATCATGATAAATGGAGAAAAGACTGAAGTTGTCAAGAATTTCATTTTACCTGGATCCACAATCAACACTCATGGAAGCAGCAGGCAAGAAATTTACTGCAAAAGACCTCTTTAAAGTATTGAAAAGCAAAGATGTCACCTTGAAGACTAACGTGGGCCTGACCTAAGCCATGGTGTTTTCAATTGCCTCATATGCATGCGAAAGATGGACAAGGAATAAGGAAGACCAACGAAGAACTGACACCTTTGAATTGTGGTGTTGGCAAAGAATATTGAATATACACCACTGACTTCCAAAAGAATGAACAAATCTGTCTTGGAAGAAGTATAGCCAGAATGCTCCTTAGAAGCAAGGATGGCAAGACTACGTCTCCCATACTTTGGACATTTTATCAGGAGGGATCATTCCCTGGAGAAGTAAAGTAGAGGTCAGCAAAAAAGAGGAAGACCCTCAACGAGATGGACTGACACATGGCTGCAACAATGGGCTCAACCATAACAATGATTGTGAGGATGGCGCAGGACTGGGCATTGTTTTGTTCTGTTGTATATAGGGTCAGAACTGACTAGACAGCATCTAACAACAACAACAACAACACAATCGAATGCCTTTGCATAGTCAGCGAAACACAGGTGAACATCTTTCTGGTATTCTCTGCTTTCAGCCAAGATCCATCTGATATCAGCAGTGATATCCATCATCCATGTTCTCTTCTGAATCAGCTTGAATTTCCAGAAGTTCCCTGTCAATTTACTACTGCAATTGTTTTTGAATGTTTTTTATCATTAAGATTGTGTGACAAATTGGCTGGGCCATAATTCTCAGTGGTTTGGCAGTTATGATGTAGTTTGGCAGTCATATAGTGATGTGATAACCTCCATGACGAGATTTGATATAATGTGATCATCTACATGATGTGATCTGCTGTGAGTAGCCAATCAGTTGAAAGGGAGTTTCCTTGGGGGTGTGGCCTGTATCCAATACAGGTGGACTCTCTGGCAAGGCTCAGGGGCTTTTGCTTGCTCTGGATCCTGCAGCTGGCTCCTGTTCATCTGACATCTGGTTCTTGGGACTTGAGATAGCAGCTTACCTGCCGTCTTGCCTGCTGATCTTGGGATTCATCCGTCTTCGCAGCCTGTGAGCCAGAGCCCTGCTGTCTCACCTGCTGATCTTGGGTTCACCAGTGCCTGCGGCTACGAGAATCAGGAGAAACTTCCAGCCCGACCCACGGACTTCGGACATTCCAGCCTCTACAACCGAGTGAGCCATTTCCTTGATATAAACCTCTCTCTATATATATATTTATATGCTTTACTGGTTTTGCATCTCTAGAGGACCCAGCCTTAGACAATGATCTTCAGCAAAATATTACTTGTGTGTGATGTTAATGATATTGTTCATTGATTTCTGCATTCTGTTGGATCACTTTTCTTTAGAATGGGCACAAACATGAATCTCTTCCAGTCAGTTGGCCAGGTAGCTCTCTTCCAAATTTCTTGGCATAGACAAGTGAGTGTTTCCAGGACTGCATCCGTTTGTTGAAACATCTCAATTTGTATGTTGTTAATTCCTAGACCCTTGTTTTTCACCAACGCCTCCAGTGCAGCTTGGACTTCTTCCTTCAATACATGATTCTTAATCATATGCTACTTCTTGAAATGTTTGAGTATCGATCAATTCTTTTTGGTATAGTGATTCTGTGTATTCCTTCCACCTTCTTTTGAAGCTTCCTGTGCCATTCAATATTTTGCCCATAGAATCCTTCAACATTGCAACTCAAGGCTTGAATTTTTTCTTCAGTTCTTTCAGATATGCTGAGCGTGTTCCTCCCTTTGGGTTTTCTAACTCTAGGTCTCGTATACATGGTTGAGATACATGTATTATTGTTTGTTTTATTGGCTGGTCTAATCTTTGGCTGCAGGGTGAACCTCAGGAGTGACTTCAGTACTGAGTGAAAAGGGTGTCTCGAGGCCATACTCTTGGGGTTTCTCCAGGATCTGTCAGAGCAGTAAGTCTTGTCTTTTTTTGTGAGTTAGAATTTTGTTCTACATTTTTCTCTAGCTCTGTCGGGGACCCTCTATTGTGATCCCTGTCAGAGCAGTCAGTGGTGGTAGCTGGGCAACATCTAGTTGTGCTGGACTCAGTCTGATGGAGGCTGTGGTAGTTGTGGTCCATTAGTCCTTTGGGCTAATCTTTCCCTTGCGTCTTTGGTTTTCTTCATTCTCCTTTACTCCAGATTGATGTGCGACCAGTGGAGTATCTTAGATGGCTGCTCACAAGCTTTTAAGATGTCAGACACTACTCATCAAAGCAGGATGTAGAACATTTTCTTTATAAACTATGTTATGCCAACTGAGCTAGATTTCCCTGGAGACCATGGTTCCCCCATAATTTGGGGAGTTTAATGGGAGTTTAGATGTGTCTATGAAGCTTCTGTGACTTTGCCTTGGTCAAGTTGTGCTGACTTCCCCAGTATTGTCTAGCGTATTACCCTTCATCAAAGCTACCACTTATTCATTGTCTAATTAGTGTTTTTCTCTCCCCATCCCTCCCAAACAGTAATGTTGTGTGAAGCTTGTCCAGACCCTCCAATTTCCTTTACTCACTCAAGAAAAGGAAGTTCTCTAAGTGACTCATCACTATCACGAAGCTAAGCCTACTTTGACTTCTTCTCTGACTTCATTAGGGAGAATGTGGAGCCACTTGATCAAACTGTTCTTTTGGGGTACTTTTCCCTTGGTCACATGTAAGAATCACATATCATTTTGAGGCTTGACTCTCCAAACCAAAACATGATGTGGAAAAAGAGTTTTCTCGTGTTCCTTTTCTCTCTTTCAATTCAAAATGCAGTATTGGACGATGACAGGACAAAGAAAACAGATGGTAAGTTTCATTTACTTCCCTTTTACTAAAAACATTTCTATTGAGATGGTGAGAGTGTCAGCTTTAAATATGATCATTCGTGAGTAAGTTTTTCTCTGCTTTTAGATAAACAACCAAAGAGTAAAGACTTTTCAATCACCTACTGTTTAAAATAAAAAGATTTTAGAGAAGGACTAGGAGCATATTTCTCAACATTCAGAGACAAAATATTTAGAGTGTTTTTACAATGAAATGTTTCTTTCTTTGTTGTTGTTTTTAAGTCAGAAAACCAACCTACAATCATTGTGAAATAATTAAAGCAACATTAAAAATATATATTGGGAGGTAGTTTATTATCATAGAGCTAGACAGCATTCATCCTCACCCTGGTTCTACCATTTACTTGATCTCAGCCTGGGCACATGATACAACCACTTTAAGCTTCTTTTCTTTCATCTGTCAAGTGGGGATAATAAAAGCACCTATCTGTGAGGGTGGTTCTGAGGATCGAATGGGATGACCCATGTTCCTCAGCACAGTGCCTGGTGTGTGCTGAGCCTTCCATAAATGTTAGCCAAGGTAGCTCTTGTTACTACAGAAAATGAAAGTCCTGTTACCCCCGCCTCCACTTCTCTCCCTCTCCCACTTCCAGAGGCAGCCACTATTAATAGTCATTATCTGCGCAATATCATAGTAAACAAACTCTTCTGTGACTTTTTTTTTTTTTACTTCAGCATCTTTCTAGGTGGTACATGTAGATTTAGCTCATTCTTTTCAACATCTGCATGGTGTTTCATGAATTTATTTAACCATCCCCTTATTGATTGTTCATTTTTTTGTAATGTAAGCAATACTACCAGTAAGTCTCCCATACGTCAGTGTTTGTGGACACATGAGAGCATGTTTGTAGCATAAAATCCTAGAACTGAAATTCTGGGTCAAAAGGCATGTATATTTAAATTGTTACAGATACTGCTAAATGGCTTTCCCAACAGACTGAACATATATATAGTCACCAACAGTGTGGGTGAGTCTGAGTTTCTCCACACCCTCCCTGTCAGTGGATACAATCATCTTTTAAATTTGTGCCAATCTGACAAATGAAAAATGACATTTCAGTATTGTTTTAATTTGCAGTTGCCTCATAAAAGTGAAGTTGATCATCTTTTCATGTTTTTTTGGCCATGGAAGCTGTAGCATTTCCACATAAAGGAAATTTGGGGATGGCTATCTGTTGGAAAAGGAAGGCTAGGTCTTGCCTTGAAGCTAGGCTAACATAAGACTAAGATGTTAATTGTCCAGATCAAAGAGAGGGAGGGGAGCTGATGGCATTTTTGACGTCACTAAAGCCACTCCCCAAACCAAGTCACCCCTTGATCTCACCACTGTTTAATGGCCATTGGCATTTCTTCCTCTGGATACCTATTCATATTATTTGCCCATTTTTTATTTAGTTGTTCATCTTCTTATTATTGATTTGTCATTGATTTATATACACAAAAGGAATTCTTTGCTTTTGTGTTTTAAGTATTTTCTTCTATGCTGTCACTTGTCTTTTAATTTTGCCATAGAGAAGTTTTAAGTTTTGAGAGAGACAATTTTTTCAATTTTTTCTTTATGGCTCCTAATTTTTGAGTCTTATTTGGAAAGCCTTTCCTACCTGATGACATAAAAAAATTTCCCTATATTTCTCTTAATTCTTTCATAGTCTTTTTTTTTTTAATATTAGATTTTCTGATAAGGGTTTTTCCCCCCTTGGCATTTTTAAATAATAAAAACCAAACAAATAAGCTATCGAAACTACTGGGAAAATTAGGGAGTAGTTTATGTAAATGCGGGGGGAACAATTCAGTAAAGGAGGGTGAGAATGGCTGCACAACTTGAAGAGTGTAATCAATACCACTGAATGGGACATGTAGAAATTGTTAAATGGGTGTATGTTCTGCTGCATGTGGTCTCAACAACACCAATGAAAGATTACTGGGATCATGTTAAAAGGACTCAGGAGCCAATTCGAAGAAGCTTCCAGTGACCAAAAAAAGGGACAATAAGAATAATAACTGCAATAGATTGAAACACATCAAATATGCTTAAATCTGAGTTCATAATGATTCTTAATATAAAAACAACAATAAAAGAAAACGTTTCACCGTTCACTTTTTTAAGATGCTAGGGAATCAACTCATTATTTTCAAAACTGGGCAATAGAGGGAAAGAATCAAGCACTGATCCTTCCTTTCCTGTGCAAACTGTACCTTAATATAACCAAATAGTTGACAAGGGCAAGTTTCTCTTTATAGAACTATTTCAGAAAATAATGGAGAAGAAATAATTAAAATTAGTATATTGCCATTTTCTAACTCCTAATGAAATCATGCTTCTGGGTGATCAACATCAAAGGCTACTAACCAACAAAAAGAGAGATAATCAGACATTATGTGCTTCAGAAGCACATAAGGAGCCCTGGTGGCACAGAGGTTAAAGCACTCGACTGCTAGCCAAAAGGTCAGTGGTTCGAACTAACCAGCTGCTTCACAAAAGAAAGATGTGGCTGTCAGCTTTGGTAAAGATTTACAGCCTTGGAAATCTTAAGGAGCAGCTGTACTCTGTACTATAGGGTCGCTGAGTCTGAATCGACTTGATGGCAATGGGTTTGGGTTTGGGAACAGAAGCACATACTACCACCTGTGACATATTCTCGTTAAGCAAAATCTAATCTGAATCTCATCAAGCTTCTAGATCTAATAACTGATTTACCAGAAACATCAGGGACAGAGAAACATGGTAAAACATATCATGGAAATGTGATCAACAAAATCCGGACCATGGAAAACACCATAGAACAGCCTGCTATATTCAGCAAATAAATTGTAAGGGAGGTAAAAAGAAAAAGAGATGAAAAGGTCTATAAATTAAAAAAGAGTTAAGAAACATATCAACCAATTGCAATATTTGAATATTAATTCAAACAAAAAGACAACTAGGGAAATTTGAACACTAACTAGATACTTGAGGATATTTTTTAAATATTGTTAATTTTTAGGTGTGATAATGGTATTGTTATGTTTACAAAAAGAGTCCTTATCATTTAGAGGTACAAACTACCAATGTCTTCCAACCAAAGATCACCAGGGACACATGTGTAGTTGAACAAAGTTGGGTTTATTGACTTGTTGTGACGAGGGAGAACATATACCATGGGGAACCATGCGACATCTCAGCAAGAGGGTGTTAGAAAGGACTTATGGGATTTGGACTGTGTTAGGCGACTTGGAGGAAGATTCAAAGAAACAGGCTTTGCTCTGGATTGGATTCTTTCAGGAAGTAGGAGTTAATTCTATGATTGAATATCCTAATAGTTCTCTTCTAGAAAGTAAGAAGAACAGAGCCAGGCTAAAGCTGGAATTTGTTTTAAAAAAAAAAAAAAGCAGGAGTCACTCATATTAGCCAGTGTATGGGGATGTTTGGCCGTTTTTGTGGTTTGAACAATACTCGTGTTTTTATATGTGGTAGTGTTATTTTTGTCTTGATCCGTCAGGGTCATAGATTGGCCTTGTCTGGTTGGTGGTCTGTGAATTTATGTTCCGTAGCAGAAGACCAACGCCTAGCTGTGAGTTACAGGTCAGGTCCTAGCCAGGCCAGTTCCCAGCTGTCAGGGGCTGCTTTTCTCTTTCTCAATGCTGAAATGCACAGATGAGAAAAAAATGCCATCTGTGATTCGCTTCAAACCAATGGAAAAGCAGGCAGACAAAACAGGATTGATCCCGTGTTGATAATTGCTAAAGCTGTGTGATAATTTCATTGGGGTTCATATGCTATCCTCTCCACCACTTTGTTTGAAATTTTCCAAAATAAAAAATATAAAATAAGGAGCAAAATAAGCCATCAGATATAATGTTTAGTCATAGACTCTAGAACAGTTTGAATGTTCCTAAGTCAGCGTAGCCAGTCTTAAGAGCGCCCTCTTCAGGCTCTCAGTGCCAAGAGACAGCAAGCCCAAAGGAATTTGCTGGTCAAGCCCACCCATCACTCACTGTGAGGAGCCTCTGCAGGCCCTGAGGCTTTCTCACATACTGGTCAGCCTGGCTATGCAAGCAACCAGGGCCTTATGTAGGGCACTGCTCCAAGAATGGTGTCTCTACCACCTCGACCCACATACATGTAGCAGGAAGACCACTGAGTTATCATTGAGGGATGTTAACGAGGCCTGTTTTGTTGTTTGTTTTCCAGAATGCCCTTCACCTAGATTGTCATCGCAAACCACTGTGGTCACAAAGGGTCAAAATGTATCTCTGATTTGCTCCATCGAGAAAAAATCTCAGACAATCATGTACTATTTTTATCAGGGTGACAAATACCTGAGAACTAAAGATAATGGTGAATCCAATATTTTCAACTTAAGGATCTCAGAAGCCCGTGATTTGGGCCCCTACAAATGCAAAGTCCAAGATTCTATATCTTCAGTTTACCGCTGCTCAAAATACAGTCCTGACTTCAACTTCACATTACTAGGTAAGTAGAACCCTTGTATTTGGAGCCCCTGTGATTTGTGGGATCTTTTCTGTTCCACTAAGGGCTCTCCATGTCCGTTATGAGCACTCACTCAAAAGCCTGAGAAGTGTGTCAGCAAGATAATTGTTCTTAATAATTCAATTTTTGCTTTCTGTTTCAAAGACTTTTTATTATTTCGGATAATGATAGGTGAATTGCCTTAGGCAAAAATTCCAGATCTTTTCTAGATACTTTACTCCATGATTTCCATCATGTAAGTAAAAATTACTTTTTCTCTGAAGACTCATGATATCTTGGAATCAGTGTTGGACCCCATGCAGCAGGTCTTTAAAGCCCCAGGCCTTTCTCCACCATCTTCCCCTTGCAAGGACCACAGACCAGGTGCCCCATCAGGCAGCACTCCTCCTGCCCAAGTACAATTTATTACTGCTGTATTTTTCTCTACCATCCTCCCTCCCAAGCTTCTCACAGCCCAGCATTAATGGCCTTGATAATGGACTCCTGGGAGAGGAGTAATAAGTGAGGATTTCACGTATTATGTGTATATCTTATCTGGAATCTTCCAAACATAGGGGTCCTGACTTCCGCGATCAACTCTGAGTGATACTCTAGGTCTGCACTGTCCCATGTGGTAGCCACTACTCACATGTGGCTATTTAAATTTAAATTCAAATTAATTAAAATTAGATGAAATTAAAAAATTCAGTTCCTCCGTCTCCTTAGTCATATTTTAAGTGCTCAGTAGCCACCGATGACTAGTGGCTTCCATATTGGACAACATAGACATAGATCATTTTCATTATTGCAGAAAGTACTACTGGACAGCATTGCTCTAGATCAATGGCTCTTAGCTTTGTAGGTTATAACCCTCTTAATAATCTAATATTAGAACTGACTATTTCCCCAGAGAAAAGCTCACAAAACTACAGATGCAAACTTGCAAAAGGCTTTAGGGAATGCCTTGGGCTCCCCTGAATGATCATAAGGCAGTTTCGGACAGAAACTAAATAGAAACCATAACTGTAAAAGTTATGTGAAGAAAGGGGTGGTGGATGCAAGGCCTGTACTAGAATGTGGTGGATAACGTGAGGGTAGTAGCCCCGCTGATAATATTCTCTAGCGGTCAGACTCCTGCTGGACTGGGTGCGCTGTACTGTGGAGAGAACAATGGAGTGGGCCTCAGGGAACCTGTGTCCTCATCCTCGTTCTACAACTAGCTTCCTGTGCAACCTTGGATATTCCATTTGGATATGCCTTAGATATACCTGCAGTCCTTAATTACTAAGTATGAATTGAGAAGATAGGACAGTGTGCCCTAGCATTGCCTGGTTTTAAGTCTGGGTGAGACTCTCAGGCTACAGTGGGCAGAATGGGTGGGGAGGTGTAAAGTTCTAGTTGTGCCTGAAGTCTTCTAACTTCAGGAGGAGGCATGAGAATCAAGATCAGCACAAAGCTGATTCCTATGGAAGTCAGATATACCTACACTCTCCAACTTTTTATCAGTTCTGACACTAGCTGTCCCCCTACTCCCACAGCACTCTCTACTTCTCTGCTGAGTGTGATAATTCATTACAATATCTCACAGAACTCACAAACTGTACCTACAGTTAAGTGGTTTTTTGGGGGAATTATCAGGGTATTACTCGGGATCAGGATCCACAGGCTACAACTCGGGATCAAGATCAGGAAGCATGTGGGCAAAGACTGGAAGGCTTCCCTGAAGTGCAGAGTACATCCTTCCCTTCTTCAGCGCAGGACAGCTCTCTCAACTCCTCTTGGCCATGCAAGCAAGCAGGCTTTTCTCTCTACTGTGCACAGCCGCATGCATCCCCCATCAGCCATGCAGGCCTCCTCTCAGTCCCCTCAGGACGGGCCTCTGCCTTCAGCCTCCCTGCTGTCAGCCTCTCCACTGCTAACTGACCAAGTTCATAGGGTAGCGGCTTTGTTCAGCTCTCTCAGCTGCATTCCTCGCACCAAGTTTCTGCTGTCACTTTCCTGCTTTGCCACAGGGCCCCTTCTGGGCCAGTCACCGCTGGCTCTGCTGCTGGACCTCTTCCAGGTCTCACGCTGTCTTCAGTGTTACAGCCCTTGCCCCATGTAACAGCTTTTTCAGGAGGTTCCTTGCCTCCTCTCTCCTCTCTTCTTGCCTCTCTTGCCTTTTCTCCTTTCTGTGACCTCTGTGAGGTTGGCTGCATATATAAGCAAACTCCTTATCAATTTCAAAGTAAGGCCCTCCCAGCAGGGCCATGAATTGAATAACCCCCTCTGTAGTGACTTCATTTGCATAGTCTATAATCACTTCATTTGCATCGTCTACAGTATACTGACAAATTCGTGCAAGGTGTAGCCCTGGGCCAGACAGAAAGTATCAAACCATCAAGCTGTTGACAGTTTACCCATGAAATGTCAATCAATCTGGTAAAAAGTAACACACCCTCTAGGGTAGGAAACTAGGGCAAAGGTAACTTCCTCAGGGCTTAGGGGAAAGATCTCTCAAGCCTTTTTTCCAAGAACCAAGGCAAAAGGCCACATAAAGGAACTCATTTCACCACAGGAGGGTGGAGGCTTACTTCACCAGGAAAGTATCTGTTTGCCCTTCAAATCACTGAGATTCAGTGTGAGGAAAAATGAAGACAAGGCCCACCAATGGTGTGGGTCTCCTCCATTTAAACACCCCTGTAAGGAATAAGCCCAGTTTTAGATGGTTTATGAACTTGAACTTGAGAGCTGAGACCATACTGATTAACATCAGCTCTTCATTTCCTGAGCTTCTGTAGAATCTTGTATAAAATCTACCCACAGCCTGCCTTCCTAGTAAAAACATCAATGGACAAGTTTCCTGTGCACAAGTATCCTGCAATTCGTTACAATGATTACATTATTGTAGAATGGTTTTGTTATTTATTTTCTCTTTTGTTATATTTTTTATTATACACAAAGATATTACAACAGGTAGAAACATACAGGCTCTGTCAAATGTGTGGCGGGAAGAAGTTTGGCAGACTCAAGCCTTACAAGGATTTCAGTGAGCTAGACTGATGAACCCACACTGACAGGCTGAGACGTAATAGGGGCAAATGCAGTCTTGTTCTTAGGTTAAAAACAGTTCCAAAACCAAAATTACAAATGCATTTACCCTCTGATCTAGCAATCTCTCTTCTAGGACTTTTTCTACCTCACATGTGCAAAATAATGTGCATGTAAGATTATTTATTATAGCACTCTTTTTTTTAATTGTTGTAAAACTATTGGTAACACAACATTTACCAGCTCAACATTTTTCACTGTACTATTCAATGGAACCAATTACGTCACACATGTTGCACAGTCACTCTTTGCAATAGAACAAGATTGGAAACAACCAAACTGTCCACCAATAGTTGTTAGGTGCCGTCGAGTTGGTTCTGACTCATAGCGACCCTATAAACAACAGAACAAAACACTGCCTGGTCCTGCGCCAACCTCACAATCGTTGTTATGCTTGAGCCCATTGTTGCAGCCACTGTGTCAATCCATCTCACTGAGGGTCTTCTTCTTTTTCACTAACCCTCTACCAAGCATGATGTCTTTCTCCAGGGACTGATCCCTCCTTATAACATATCCAACATATGGGAGATGAAGTCTCACCATCCTTGCTTCTAGGAGCATTCTGGTTGTACTTCTTCCAAGACAGATTTGTTCGTTCTTTTGGTAGTCCACTGTATATTCAATATTCTTCATCGACACTAAAATTAAAGACTGTGTAAATAAACTAGAGCATCTCCACCTAATGAAATACTATGCAGTAGTGAAAAAGGATGAGGAAGCTCTCCATGCATGGATATGGAAAGATCCCCAAGACATACTGTTAGGTTAAAAAAAGCAAAGAAAACCAAAGTGCAAATAGTAGAAATACTCTTCCACTGTCTGTGTAAGAAGGGAGAGATAAGAAGATACATTTGTTTTTTGCCTGCATTTACATGAGGAAACACAAGAAACCAAAGCAATCTGTAGGAGGAGAGGAGGACGGGGCGAATGGTGACAGGAGTATGAGTGAGACTGCTCAGAATAAACTTTTTACATTATCCTGACATTTACATGATTTAAATGTGCATTATCCATTATATTTTAAACTGCACAAGCACAGAGTAGTTTGTATTAAAACAAACAAAAAACTAATGCTTTAGTTTACCACAGCCTGCATGTAATGGGTCCAGGTGTAGGAAGGACTGAGGCCAGTTTCTGTAGCACGGAAAAGCAGAAGGACCTGAGGAAATGGCTGTTGATTTTTTTCTTTTTTTTTTTTTTTTTTTCACTAATTTTTGAAAATTACAGGAGGTAGATATCAGTTCCATAGGCAAAGTGTTCTGTTGGTGTTATCCCCCATCAAAGTTGCCCTCCAAGCCCCAAGTGACATTCTGTTGGGGATGCTGTCACAGGGATTCCTGCTCAGGGGAGGGATTAGGCCAGGAAACTCTAAATTTTTTTCTAAGATTTCATGATTTGACTCATATTTGGTCCCTTTATTTTATTGTTTCTGGGTCAAATTCATGTTGTTTTAAAAAACAAAACAAAACAGTGTGGGCTTTAGGGTTGGTCCTGGCTCTCCCACTTATTAGCTGTGCGATCATGGGCAAGTTACTTAACCTCTCTGTAGCACAGCTGGCTCATCTGTGGAATGGACATGATACTATCCACCTTGTGGGACTGTTGTGAAGGTGAAATGAGATAATGTGGGTAACGTGTCTGGCATCTGATAGATACTCAACAACTATCCTTCCTTCCCTATAATGCTGTTTTATTAATAAATCATATAGCTGGATTCTCCCATGAAATAGTGTCTGACCTGATGGAGCATACCAGACCCACACGTTTCCTGTTGAGACCTTCCCTTGAACCTATTCGTCAGAGCTGCTTCCTGAGTTTTTGGAGAAAATGAAAGACAATTATGCAAATGTAGTCTCTAAATGAAAATACGGTTAGAGAAACTGATACTTTTGGACTTCTTTGATTTGAAAAAAAAAAAAAACCTCACTATAATCTTACAAGGATTGAGAATTAACGCACCTCTCAACTATACCCTTAGAAGTGGATTTTTGACAAAATGATACACATGTCAACAACAAACAGTGGATTCTGATGAAAGGCATGCTTGAGCCCTGATGCCTCAAAGCAGAAAGACACCCTCCACCCTCTGGGCTTTCTCAGCACTCAGCTCAATGTCACACTGTGTGGGGTTAACCACATACCAGTCTGCCTTTCCCACCACGCTGTGAGCTTCCTGACTTCTCATGAAGGGTCTCATTCACTTTTGGGTCCACAGCCTGGAATAGACGTTCAATCAATGCTTGTAAATTGAGTGAACACAAACTGCTTGTCTTAATTTTCTAGTGCTGCTGTAACCGAAATAAGCACAAGTAGACGGCTTTAACAAGCAGAAATTTATTTTCTCATAGTTTAGGAAGCTAAAAGTCTGAATTTAGATCGCCAGCTCCTAGGGAAGGCTTTCTCTCTCTGTGGGCTCCAGAGGAAGGTCCTTTTCTCTTCAGCTTCTGCTTCCTGGTTCCTTGGAGATCTCCATGTATCTTGGTATCTATCTCACCCTATCTCTGCTTCTTAGCCTGCTTGTTTAATCTCTTTTATGACTCAGTATACTCCCTACACTAATCCTGCCTCATTAACATAACCAGGACAACCCATTCCCAAATGGAATTATAACCACAGGCATAGAGGTTAGGATTTACAACACATATTTTGGGGGGACACAACTCAATCCATAATACTGCTTATCCTTTAACATGAACTTCCATCTTTCTAGACCCAGTGGCCACCCCAGTCCTGAACATCAGTGTCATTCAGACAGAAGCAGGCCTATATATAACACTACGCTGCATCTCGCCCAACGGCTCATTGCCCATCAATTATACTTTCTTTGAAAAAAATGCCGCCATATCACCAGCTATTTCCAAAGATGTAAGACAGCCTGCTGAATTTAACTTCACCAAGAAGAGCACCCAAGGAGATGAAGAGTATAGGTGTGAAGCTAAAAACAGATTGCTTAACAATGCAAAATACAGTCAGTACAGCCCTATTCCCTTAACAGGTAAGAGCTATCTAAGTCGGATTCCTTTCAACAGGGTCTGGGTTTACTTGCAGAAATGACAGCTGTTCCTCTGCCCACCCACTTCCCACTTTTGGCAACCTGCTTGCAAACGTCTCCCCTCTAGGAGGGTCCATACAAACTCTGGTGGGCTTACTTTCTGCCATAAATGAACCACAGAAAAGTCTAGAAGCTGGGGCAGGAAGGACCCTGTAGTGAGATTTGCTGACCCGACTCTGATTCCGCCATGTCCTTCTACCACATAGGTTCTCAGCAGCCACATTAGAATTTGCATCTGTCTTAGATGCATCTCTTGGTTTTCATTTGTTTTTTCAACTTTTTTTAAATTGATTTTTAACACCTATGCCTGCCCAACTGACTGTTTACTGCCCTGCTGCTAACATTTGGTGAGTCTAGACTTCCAAGCAAGGACAATGGCTAAGAACTCAGCGGCTAACAGAAAGGTTGGCTGTTTGAACCCACCCAGTGGCTCCGTGGGAGAAAGACCTGGCAATATGCTTCCCTATTACAGCCTAGGAAACCCTATGCGGCAGTTCTACTCTGACACATAGGGTTGCCATGAGTTGGAATCAACTCCACGGCACCTAACAACAATAGACTTCCAGCATCACTGTTAGCCAGGGGCAACGGGGGCCCCTGCCAAGCCGTGGGTTTCAGAGGGAGGGCGCTGCTCTGGTAAGTATCGTCCAGGCACTTTCTGATGGGCTGAGCAGGCTGGGAGGCTATGAGGATGAGCCCACCTGAAACGTACGGGCTTGCTTTTCTGCTCTGGGTACCTGACCTCAATTCCCTGCCCAGTCTGACCCGAATCTGCTTCCAGGGCCTACACAAGTCTCCTCCCTAGCTCATCCTTCCAAAGGTGGACTATGGTGCGAGCATCTCTAGAACTAAGCCAAGGGAGCTGTTTATGCTGGCTGTGGATGACATGTGAACTTGTGGGCTGAGGGGTCCATACGCATGCAAGTCCACCAGGCAGGACAGGGCCTGAGTGGGAAGAGGACAGGCTGGGGCTGGGACTGGCTCTACCCATGATTTCACGTTTACAGCAGAACTTCAGGAGTCTAAAAATTCTAAATTCAAACCTGGCCTTCCAGGTCCTTATGAAGGAACATTTATCAAGGTAAGAGAAGGACAGAATAAAACTTTGGTTAGCAAAGGGAGAAGATCCACTTGGGCATTGAACACTTCACCCAGCCCCATCTTCAGAAATACAGAGCCCAAACCCTGGTGTTCAGTAAGTTGTAACAAGTGAGGCAGCTTGTTGGAGCCCAGCTTTTGGCTACAAAATCCAGTCCTCCCATCAACTGGTTGTGTGGCCTTCGGAAAGCCACTTAACCTCTCTGAGCCTTACTTTCCTCAACTGTAAAATGGGTAGAATATAAATGAGATAAATAAGGCAGTATGTCAAAAGTCCTTAGCACAATGCCTTGTGTGGAGTTAACAAATGGTAGCTGTTTGGGTGACACAAATCAGACCAGCATGGCTGAGGGTTCTGCTCATTAAACAGCCAGGCCTTTCTGATGGTTACGACCCTAATAATGTTGCCAGTAATCATTCTGCTACATGCTGTGCTGCTTTTCTCTCCCAGGTATGACGTCTTTGTGGGAGATGTGCTTGGTGATGACTTTAGGACTTTGTGGACTAACAAGTTAACAACTATCAAGAGTTGCAGGTGTCTATAGCAGTACAGTAAGACAAACCAACAGACCACACGTCTGTCAGTTTGTTGTATTGTGGTGGCTTGCATGTGGCTTTGATGCTGGAAGCTATGCCACTGGTATTCCAAATACCAGTAGGGTCACCCAATTAGGACAGGTTTCAGCAGAACCTTCCAGACTAAGACAGCCTAGGAAGAAGGACCTGCAGGTGTACTTCTGAAAAATTTGTCCAGTGAAGGCGTTATAAATAGCAGCAGAACAGTGTCTGATATGGCACTGGAAGATGAGCCCCTCAGGTTGGAAGGTGCTCAAAATACAACTGGTGAAGAGCTGCCTCTTCAAAGTAGAGTCGACCTTAATGACATAGACGTAGTCAAGCTTTCAGACCTTCATTTGCTGATGAGGCATGACTCAAAATGAGAAGAAACAGCTGCAAAAATCCAATAATAATTGAACCATGGTGTCTTGGTTATCTAGTGCTGCTATAACAGAAATACTACAAGTGGATGGCTTCAACAAACAGAAGTTTATTCTCTCACAGGCTAGGACACTAGAAGTCCAAATTCAGGGCACCAGATCCTGGGGAAAGCTTTCTCTGTCAGCTCTGGAGAAAGAGCCTTCTCATCAACCTTCCCCTGGACTAGGAGCTTCTCAGCACAGGGACCCTGAGTCCAAAGGACACACGCTCCTGACTCTGCTTTCTTGGTGGTATGAGGTCCCTATGTTTCTCTGCTTGCTTCTCTTTTCTATATTTCAGAAGAGACTGGCTTAAGACACAATCTAATCTTGTAGATCTCATCAACATAACTGCCACTAATCCATCTCATTAACATCATAGTGATAGGATTTACAACAGGTAGGAAAATCACATCAGATGACAAAATGGTGGACAATCCCACAATACTGGGAATCATGGCCTTGCCAAATTGATACACATATTTTTGGGGGACAAAATTCAATCCATGACACATGACATGTATGAAGTACGAATCTAGCAAAATTAAAATCATCAAAAATGAAATGGAATGCATAAAGATCGACATCCTAGGCATTAATGAGCTGAAATGGAGTGATATTGGCCATTTTGAATCAGACGGTCATATGGTCTACTACGCTGGGAATTTGACAAATTGAAGAGGAATGGTATCACATTCATTGTCAAAAAGAACATTTCAAGATCTATCCAAAGTACAACACTGTCAGTGATATCCACAAGCCTAGTTAATATGACTATTATTCAAATTTACCCACCAACCAGTACTGCCCAAGATGAAGCAATTGAAGATTTTTACCAACTTCCGCAGTCTGAAATGGGTCAAACATGTAATCAAACACCAGAAGAAAAACTAGATAAGTGGGAGCTCCTAAAAATTAAACACTTATAGTCATCAAAAGACTTCAACAAAAGAATAAAAATAGAACCGACAGACTGGGAAAACATTCTTGGCTATGACATATCCAACAAGGGTTTATCCTAAAATCTATAGAATACTTCAACACCTCAACAACAAAAAGACAAACAACCCAATCAAAAAATGGGCAAAGGATATGAACAGACACTTCAGCAAAGAAGACATTCAGGCAGCTAACAGACACATGAGGAAATGCTCAGGATCATTAGCCATTAGAGAAATGCAAATCAAAACCACAATGACTACCATCTCACTGCAACATTACTGGCACTAATAAAAAACAAACAAACAGAAAATAACAAATGTTGGAGAGGTTGCGAGGAGATTGGAACACTTATGCATTGCTGGTGGGAATGTAAAATGGTACAGCCACTATGGAAAACAATACGGTACCTCATTAAAAAGCTAGAAATAGAAATATCATATGATCCAGCAATCCCACTGCTAGGAATATATCCTAGAGAAATAAGAGCCATCACGTGAAGAGACATATGCACACCCATGTTCATTCACAATAGCAAAAAGATGGAAACAACCTAAGTGACCATCAACAGATGAATGGATAAACAAACAATGGTACATACACACAATGGAATACTATGCAACAATAGCAACAATGATGAATCCGTGAACCATCTCACAGCATGGATGAATCTGGTGGGCATTACACTGAGTGAAATAAGTCAATCACAAAAGGACAAATATTGTACGAGACCACTATTAATAAAAAACCAAGAAAAGGTTTACACATAGAAATAAACAATCTTTGATGGTTACGAGGTGGGGGGGTGAGAAGGGGAAATCACTAACTAGCTAGTAGACAAGTGTTAACTTTGGTAAAGGGAAAGACAACACACAATATAGGGAAAGTCAGCACAACTTGACCAAGGCAAAGTCATAGAAGTATCCTAGACACATCCAAACACCTTGAGGGACTGAGTTACTAGGTCTGAGGGCTGGGAACCATGGTTGGGAGACATCTAGGTCAACTGGTATAATAACATACTCCATAAAGAAAATGTTTTACCTCTTATTTTGGAGATTAGCATCTGGGATCTTAAAAGCTTGTGAGCGGCCATCTAAGATATATCTATCAGTCCCATCCCATTCGGAGCAAAGGAGAATGAAGAAAACCAAAGATACACGGAAAATATTAGTCCAAAGGACTAATGGACCACATGAACCACAGCCTCCACTAGCCTGAGCCCAGGAGAACTAGATGGTGCCCAGCTACCACCACCTACCGCTCTGACAGGGATCACAATAGAGGGAACAAGACAGAGTGGGAGAAAAATGTAAAACAAAAGTCAAATGTACAAAAAAGACCAGACTTACTGGTCTGATGGAGACTGTAGGAATCACAAGACTATGGCTCCCAGACCCCCTGCTAACTCAGAACTGAAGCCACTCCTGAAGTTCACCTTTCAGCCAAAGATTGGACAGGCTTAAAAAACAATTTAACACACATGAGGAATGTGCTTCTTAGTTCAATCAAGTACACGAGACCAAATGGGCAACACCTGTGCAAAAGCAAAGATAAGAAAGCCGGAAGGGACGGGAAAACTGGATGAATGGACACTGAGAACCCATGGTGGAAAGGGAAAGGAAGAGAGTGCTGACATATGTTGGGGATTGAAATCAATGTCACAAAACAATTTGTGTATAAACTTTTTGAATGAAAACCTAATTTGCACTGTATAATTAAAAAACAAACAAAAATATGCAATTCATTGATAATTACTGGTGATTGGAATGTGAAAGTTGGAAACAAAGAAGGTTTGCTAGTTGGAAAATATGGTCGTGGTGATAGAAATGACGCTGGAGATCACATGATACAATTTTGCAAGACCAATGACTTCTACATTGCAAATATCTTTTTTCAACAACATAAACAACAACTATATACTCAGATCTCACCAGATGGAATACATAGGAATCAAATCTACTACAGCTGCAGAAAGAGACCATGGAGAAGCTCAATATCATCAGTCAGAACAAAGCCAGGGGCTGACTGTGGAAGAGTCCATCAATTGCTCATATGCAAGTTCAAGTTGAAGCTAAAGAAAATTAAAACAAGTCCATGAGAGCCAAAGTATGACTTTGAGTATATCCCACCTGAATTTGAAGACCATCTCAAGAATAGATTTGATACATTGAGCACGAATGACTGAAGACCAAACCAGTTGTGGGAGGATACCACGGACATCACACATGAAGAAAGCAAAAGGTCAGTAAAACAACAGGAAAGAAAGAAAAGACCAAAATGGACGTCAGCAGAGGCTCTGAAACTTGTTATTGAACATAGAGCAGCTAATGTGAATGGCGGAAATGATGAAGTAAAAGAGCTGAACAGAATATTTCAAAGGGCAGCTCAAGAATATAAAGTCAAGTATTATAAAGAAATGTGCAAAGACCTAAAGTTTGAAAACCAAAAGGAAAGAACACACTCAGCATTTCTCAAGCTGAAAGAACTGAAGAAAAAAATTCAAGGCTCGAGTTGCAATATTGAAGGATTCTATAGGCAAAATATTGAATGACACGTATTGAAAGAAGATGGAAGGAATACACAGTTACTGTACCAAAAAGAACTGGTCAACGTTCAACCATTTCAGGACATAGCATATGATCAAGAACTGATGGTACTGAAGAAAGAAATCCAAGCTGCACTGAAGGCATTGGCAAAAAACAAGGCTCCAGGAACTGACAAAATACCAATTAGGATGTTTCAACAAACCCATGCTGTTTCATGAGGTGCTCACTCGTCTATGCCAAGAAATTTGGAAGACACCTACCTGGCCAACAGACTGGAAGAAATACATATTTGTGCCTATTCCAAAGAAGGGTGATCCAACAGAAAGCGAAAATTATCGAACAATATCATTAATATCACACACAAGTAAAATTTTGCTGAAGATAATTCAAAAGCGGTTGCAGCAATATATGGACAGGGAACTGCTAAAAACTCAAGCCAGACTCAGAAGAGGACATGGAACAAGAGATATCATTGCTGATGACAGATGGACCATGACTGAAAGCAGAGAATACCAAAAAGATGTTTACCTGTGTTTCATTGAGTATGCAAAGGCACTTGACTGTGTGGATCATAACAAATTATGGATAACATTGCGAAGAGTGGGAATGCCAGAACACTTAATTGTGCTCAGGCAGAACCTGTACATAGACCAAGAGGCAGTCTTTCGAACAGAACAAGGGAATACTGCATGGTTTAAAATCAGGAAAGGTGTGAGTTGAGGTGGTATCCCTTCACCATACGTATTCAATCTGTATGTTGAGCAAATAATCTGCAAGGTTGGACTATATGAAGAAGAACACAGCATTAGGATTGAAGAAGACTCATTAACAACCTGCGACATGCAGATGACACAAGCTTCCTTGCTGAAAGTGAAGAGGACTTGAAACACTTACTGATGAAGATCAAAGACTACAGCCTTCAGTATGGATAACACCTCAACATAAAGAAAACAAAAATCCTACAACTGGACCAATAAGCAACATCATGATAAATGGAGACAATACTGATGTTGTCCAGAATTTCATTTTACTTGTATCCACAATCAACGCCCATGGAAGCAGCAGTCAAGAAGTCAAACCATATTGCACTGGGCAAATCTGCTGCAAAGGACCTCTTTAAAATGTTAAAAGGCAAAGATGTCACTTTGATTACTAAGGTGCGCCTCACCCAAGCCATGGTGTTTTCAATCACTTCATATGTATGTGAAAGCTGGAAAATGAATAAGGAAGATGGAAGAAGAATTGATGCCTTTGAATTATGGTGTTGGAGAAGAATATTAAGTATACCATGGACTGACAAAACAACAAACAAATCTATCTTGGAAGTAGTACATCCAGAAGGCTCCTTAGAAGCTAAGATGGCAAGAGTTCATCTTATGTACTTTGGACATGTTATCAGGAGGGACCAGCCCCTGGAAAAGGACATCATGCTTTGGAAAGTAGAGGGTCAGTGAAAGAGAGGGAGACTCTTAACGAAATGGACTGACACAGTGGATGCAACGATGGGTCGAGTATATCAATGATTGTGAAGATGGTGCAGGACGGAGAAGTGTTTCCTTCTCTTGTACATAGGGTCGCTGTGTGTAAGAACCAGCTTGATGGCATCTAACAACAACAACATAGCAATATGGGAACCAGGGGTGCTCAGCACATCGATCACCTTGGGAAACAGACCCGATTGCCCTTGTGTGAACTCTTAACAGTTCAATGTCATTGGAAAAGAAGGCTGCGTGGTTAAACTGACCGGTGAATGCTTTCTCTTCCAGATGGAGACGGCTGTGCTCTCTGCCTACAGCTACTGCCTGTGGGGTTATTACTGGTGCTAAAAGTGATAGCCCTAATCCCGGCATGTTGGATACTACCAAAATACAAAGCAAGTAAGTTCTTTAGGAGCTTTACTATTTTCTCCCCATGAATGATGGATACAGACAGCAGGGGCAGAGGTGGACGCAGAGGGTGAGGAGGAAGGGAACCGGGAATCAGAAATGGGATGGGAAGAGAATGAGAAGAGGGGAAGAATGGGGGTGGATGAAGTCAACCTCCTCAACAGTTCACACATACTAGTGTTCTTTCTTATTTAGATGGCTTCATGGCCCTGTGACCTGTGCGGTCCCACAGGGCCTCACTTAGAGGGCCCTGTGCTTGGTTTAATGCTCTGCTGTCACCATCTTGAAATTCCTAATCATTTTTTTAACAAGAGGCCCCACATTTTCGTTTTGCACTGGGCTCTACAACTTTCGTAGCCCATCCTGATTACAAGCTCATCAAAGGCGAGAGTCTTGCATTTTTCAGCATCCTCAGCGCGTCTACCTATATTAGTTTACTGTGGCTGCCATAACAAAGTACCACAAACTGGGAGGCTTAAAACAAGAATTGATTGTCTCACAGTTCTGGAGACTACAATTCCGAAATCAAGGTGTCAGCCGGACCAGCTGTCTCTGAACGCTCTAGGGGAAGATCCTTCCTTGCCTCTTCCAGCTTCTGCTGGTTGCCAGCAATCCTTGGCTGTCCTCAGCTGGTAGATGCATCACTCCAAGTCTGCCTTCTCCTTCACGTGGCTGTCTTCCCCCTGCCTCTCTCTAGTTCTGTGTCCCTTCTCCTCTTTTTATAAGGACACCAGTCATATTGGATTAGGATCCACCCTACTCCAGTACGACCTCGTGTAACTTAACTGATAACATCTTCAAAGATCCTATTTCCAAATAAGATCATAATCACAGGTACTGGGGTTAGGACTCCAACAGGTTTTTCTGAGGGGGACACATTCAACCTATTCACTACCACTTAGAGGAAGACGCTCAATACACAAAGACAAACAAGAGCATCCTTCCTTTCTTCCCCACCTGAAGTGCTGTCTCCAGCAGAAAATGTTTATACTCGTTAATGTCCTCAGAAGAAACCTCAGCTACTGCTCATTGGCAGAGCAGATGAGGAAAATGTGCCTAACTTGATTTAATTTAATATTCTGTACCAATTTATGTAGGAAAAGCTATGAGAGACAATGTGCCCGAGGACTACGGACATACGCCTATGGAAGTTGGAGAATATGAAAGTATGTATAAAAACCAAGCAGGTGAAGATCTAACTGCTTTTCCCTCTTCACCTCCCATGTCTACCTCTGGTTAAGATTTCAAAGTTGCCTTTGCAACTGGCACACCAGTGTGGAGGAATAGCTGGATTGGCACAAAAGATATTCTGTGTCTCGGCACTGTCATCGTCTAGCCAGCTGAGGGACGTTGGGCAGACTCCTTCGTCTCGCTGATCCACAGCACACTGACCTGTAGAATGGGGCCGTGGGAGACACTGCCACAACTGAGGTGGGAACTACGTGATAAGGGTCAGGCTCCTGTGCCTCCCTCCATGTCTAGAGAAAGCTCTAGTTCAGAGAAGCCAGGGATTCAACTGACAGAAAACTTGAGAAGAGATGCCAAAATGTACACATCTTGTACATTTTTTAAACTTGTCTCCCATTCCCATGAAAAGCCTAGGTTCTTGCAAAAGTGAAATTAATATTCTTGATTACTGGCCTGGGCTAGAATAGCACTCAGCTGGATAATTTACTGTCTCACGAAGAGATTACAAAGCTTCTTACAGACTCTTCTCTTCAGCAAAGGAAAATATGCCTGGCCATCTCAAGCATACTCTGATAGGTAAAGGATGTTACTCACAGAGCCCAGAAAATAATCGTAAGGGCTTCTGTGTTCTCAGTGATCCTTCATTTGACAATAGTTAGTCTGCTGGAGCAGGTCACGCTTTCTTTCAGAACTTGGGGGGACTCTACTCACTGGCAGAGATGGAAAAACGTGGTTGAACTGATTTAATTGAATAGTTCTGTATCAAGTTATGTCGGAAAATCTTTGAGAGATAATGTGTCCAGGGACTATGGAGATACGCCCATGGAAGTTGCAGAACATGCAACTATCTATAAAAACCAAGCAGGTATGGGCTCTTACATTTTGGTTGATTGGTTGGTTGGTTTTCATTGTGTGTGTGTATGTGTGTTTATAGTAATATAGACACGAGTAAAAAGCAAATAAAAAGAATAGCTTGCAATGACTCTCTCCCACCCCTGATGCCCAGCTCTGCTCTCCACGGGAAACAACAAGTTTTTTATATCCTTCCAGATATTCTATGCGTGTGCAAGCATCTAAACAAATGGTAGCATATCATAGATATGCTTTTCTACACCTTGATTTTTCACTTAACATCATATCTTGCAGTTTTTTAAATATCATTTCAGAGTAATCCACACCCTATTCCAGGGTCTTCTATGGTCACCGCTTAGAACAGACATCACACATTGCTTTGGGGTAAATGAAACCCAGGACCTTGCTAACAACAAGAACAATCCCAGCCAACACGGACTCAGCACCCACCACGTTCTGGGTGCAGTGCTAAGCAACTCGCCTTCATTGAAGAAGAAACAAGCCCGGTGAGGATGAGAGATGTGCCAGAGACAACTGGCCAAGTTAGCAGAGGAGCTACAAGACTCTCCCACAGCTCCTGAGGGCTCTCATCTGAGACTCCTTCCTTTGCCAAAATCAGACTGTTTTCCCAAAGAAACATACCAGTTAAAAAAAAAAATGCTCTGAAATTTCATCTCTTTCAAGCCCTGTTGATCACTCTTCATTGTACCATGTTCTCTTACCTCTTACCTTGGCATATGCTGTTCCCTCTGCTTGGAATGCCCTTCCCTGCTTCTTTGGCCATCTAACTCCCCAGGGAAGATTGCTGACCCCTCCCTCCCAGTGGTTCAGATGCCTTATTTTTGGCCTCCCACAGACCTTATCATGCCGTAACGCAGTAACACGAAGAAGCGGTGTGAGAAAAGGCTCTTCTAAACCCAGACTGGCTATGTGACCATGGGGAAATTACTTAACCACTCTGAGCCTCAGTTTTCTCAAAGGCAAGACAAGACAAATGATAGAACCTGACTTATAATACAGCCTTCCCCAAATCTATAGAGATATTCTGTGAGGCTTAGGTGTTAACACACATAAAACATGGTTAGTGCCCAGCAAACATTAGCCACTAAAGAATGAACTCTCTTAAAGCAGGGACCATCAACTAGACTAGCCCCAGATCCAGATGCTTCAGCCCTCTGTGGGTGTTCAGCAAATGTGTGTCCAACCAATGCTGAATTCATGGGAGGCTGCTTTCCAGCTACTATTTATGTACCAGGCCCCGTGCTAGGCACATTAACACACAATATTGCATTTTGTTAGGTCACTCCAAGACTGGGCCCAAGTAGCCAAGGCCTGGCATTGCCACCATAGTGCGCAGTGTCCTTGAATAGCCCCCTGACGACCTGACATCCCGTCCAACCTCCTGTCCTGCCCTGCCCTAGGGACCTAGAAAGGGTGCCTCCTCTCAGTGAAGGCCGGATAGCTCTCAGCCTCCCCAGGGCTGGTTCCTCATGTGATCTGTAAACACCACAAGATGAATATCCACATACCTGCAAGCCAGAGGCCACTCTGATGGCAAAAGGCAAACCCCTCATTGGGCAGCCAGTCTCCCATGCATTACCAGTTTAAAAAGTAAAACCAAACTCCTCATGCAAATACTCAGATTTTTAACTAAGTTAACTGTGTAACGGATACCCTGGTGGCATAGTGGTTAAGAGCTACGGTTGCTAGCCAAAAGGTTGGCAGTTCAAATCCACCAGGTGCTCCTTGGGAACTCTATGAGGCAGTTCTACTCTGTCCTATAGGGTCCCTCGGAGTTGGAATCAGCTCTATGGCAACGGGATAACTGTGTAACAGCCAAGTATTTCCAGTTCAAAATATTTGTTGTTTTTAGGTACTGTCAAGTCCGTTCCCACTTATAGCAACCCTATGTAAACAGAACAAAACATTGCCTGGTCCTGCACCATCGTCACCATCATTGCTATGTTTGCGCCCATTCTTGCAGCCATTGTGTTACTCCATCTCGTTGAGGGTCTTCCTCTTTTTCGCTGACCCTCTACTTTACCAAGCATGGTGTCCTTCTCCAGAGACTGGTCCCTCCTGATAGCATGTCCAAAGTACATGAGACCAAGTCTCGCCATCCTTGTTTCTGAGGAGCATTCTTGCTGTACTCCTTCCAAGTATAGCCTTCCCCAAATCTATAGAGAGCATGCAGACCAGTGGTTGCCTGGAACTGGGGGAGAGGTTGAATGTAAGCAGGCAAGAGGGAAATTTTGGGGTGATGGAAATGTTCTAAAAGCTCAATTATGGTGATAGTTGCACAGCTCTATATATTTACCAAAAATAGGGTTCACAAATTTAGCAAATGAAAATACAGGACATCCAGTTAAATTTGAAAGTCCCATAAACAACAATTTTTTTTTAGTATAAATATGTCCCATATATTGCATAGGACATACTTACCCTTAAAAAGTATTTGTTGTTTTTCAAAAATTCAAATTTAATTGGGAGTTCTGTATTTTATCTTGCAATCCTAATAAACACTGAATAAACACTTATAGTGGGTAAATTTGATGGTATGTAAATTATGTTTAATAAAACTGTTAAGAAATCAGCATAGTACCTCGAATAATATTGTTACTTAAAAAAAATACAGCTTTTCCTTCGGCATACCCTCTCCACTGCCTCCCTACTTCATCTCGAGGCAAAACACATCTTCAAAAACCATCCCACCCACCCAGGAATGCACAGAAGTCACCAATGTAGGAAAGCTTTGTTTTCCTGGGTCCTAAGAGGGCAAGGCCACTAGTTCAGAAACACTGCAGCGCCACCCAGGGAGTTTGCTGGGAGCAGTTATCTGCTTGCTGGGTGCTGCCAATGCTGAAATCACCCCCAATTTGCTGCCCGGAAATTATCAAAATGTATCGTCTGTTCAACTCTCACTGGCTGGGTGTAAAAATGGTGTGGGGGAGGCATCTGACCTCCTCTAACTTCACAAAGAGGGGAGGAGAATCAAGATCAACAGCCCAAGGCTGATTCCCATGAGGCAGAGGTCAGACAGGCCTCCTTTCTCCACCATCTTTACCAATTCTGATGCCAACCGTCCCTCCCATGGCACTCTCTATTTCTCTGCTGGGTTCGATAACTCACTGCAATGACCACACAGAACTCACAGACAATGCTCACGATCATGGGGTTTACTAGGGAAGTAACAGGTTACAATTCAGGCTCAGGAACGCTCAGGATACAGTTCTTCCATCAGGACAGCCTCTTTTCAGCTGTGTCCGAGGGCACACCTTTCTCTGGCCCTAGGCCTCTGCCCTGCTCAGGCAACTGTTAGAAAACTCTTTTAGCCCCTGCCACTAAGATTCCAGAGGCACCCCCAGGCACTCCAGCTTTCTCGTTCAGTGGGCCAGGAAGCTTTTGGCTGGAATTCTGTCAACCTAGCCAGGTTGTCCTTTATCTATTAGGAACTTCAGTTAATCAAATACACACAAAAATACACAAAAATTAGAAAAAGTATTATTACTTAGTAAATGCCTTTTTCGATAAAGTCTTCCCAATAAGATTTATGAGATAAAAATAATGGAGGGGCTTCTGATGGTAAAAAGTTAGGAAGCCCAGTCTGCTCAGAGTTACAGAAAATTCCACAGTAGCAGGAAGCATTTTGCAGTGTCGAATTCTTACAGGACCGAAAGAAAGTAACTCGTTCCCAAGCACCAGACTATACATGTATTTGACGGTATTTTTCACCTCATGACTACATTCCTTTAATAAGCACTTCATTTTGTTTCTCCCTGCCAGGGTATTTCTAAAAGGACTTGTAAAAATATTTTGTATTTCAAGTGACTCAAAAGGAAAGTAAGCAACAATAAAAAGACATTATAGGCAGCAATGGTTGATGGTTGGATCCATTCTCACTCTCTCCTCTCTGCCTTCCCCCAGCCCAATTTGAAACTGTATAAATTTGACAATGGCACCATCTAATGGAAGACTAGAAGGCGTGACAAAAAGCCACTTCCTTTTCTTTCTTTCAAATCTTTGTATTATATCAGCTGCAGTTTCTTCTAAACACCCCTTTATCAGCTTTGGAAATTCTCATTGCTTATTCCAGTTTTAAGTTGTTTCTAAAATAAATGTACTCTTAATGTTAAAAAAAAAACAAAAAAAAAAACTACAAGTATAAAAGTATGTAAAATAACACTTCCTTCTCCAGACATAGTACTCTCTGCATATACAAATGAATAAATATGTAAATATCAACACAGACATATTTACATATGTGTATCTATATCGACTTTTATAAATAAATGGTATATGTTATATATTCTCTGCAACATGCTTTTTTTGCATTTTTTTGCCCATCACAAATATATTTCCATTTAAGTACCTAGAGAACAACCTCATTTTTAAAAAGTGGCTCGAAAATATCTCCTTGTGTATGGTTTTTTTTTTTTCTGAGATAATGAAATGTTCTAAAATTTGATAGTGGTGATGGTTGCACACCTATATGAATATACTAAAAACCACGAACCTAAACACTTTAAGTGGGTGAATTTCATGGTATATAAGTTCTATCTCAATACAGTGATTAAAAAAAAAGAACAAGATGTCAAAGTAATATCCCATTGTAAGGAGCTTCTATAATTTAAATAACTAGTTCACAATTGATGGGCATTTAGGTGTTTGCAGGTTTTCATGGATACAAGCAAAACAACATGAATACCCTACAGAACAGAGTAGAACTGTCCCATAGAGTTTCCAAGGCTGTAATCTTTACAGACACTGACTCCACCTCTTTGCACACTATTGATTGCCAGTAGTCTTACCAATAGGATGAATCATGTGAACTACAAACATGTGCTTTGGCATGACTTAGGTCCCAAGGAATCCTCTTGGGATAGAGCATTGATACATTTCGTTTTCAGTCTGAAACTTTATCTCTGATATATGTGCAAACTTTGAGCAAGTAACTTCCCTGTCCCAGGCCTCACTAAAGTCCTCCTACCAACATTTGCAACAGCTGTAAATTGCACTTCCCGATTTTATCTGCTATTTTTGTGTCAACGCTGCAATCTGCCAGCTTCCTGCCCCAGCTGAGGGTTCCAAATGCAGAAGTGCCCCAGACATGTCAGCCTTTGTGAAAGGCCCAGTCCTCCCAGGCACCCTAACGCTCGATTTAAACCTAACCTTAAACCCTAACTCTAACCCTAAACCTAAGCCTAGATTTAACCCAATCCCTAATCCTAAACCCAACTCTAAACCTAAACATAATCCTAATCCTAACCCTAACCTTACCTTAGATCTAACCCTAACACTAACCTTAACACTAACCCAAACCCTACCCTCTGCCTAGGCAAGAGTGGACCAAATGCTGGTGGAAAAGCCTCGAAACAATCATCGCCACCCAACCTCAAGTTGTCCTGAGCAGAAATGCTGACATGGAGAGGCGTCCACCAGAGATTAGATTTGTGAGGGTTTCTTGTACCCCCACTTCCTTACCAGGAAAGAAGTAGCCACCAATATCACAGCAGGAACATCACTGTGAATCACTGAGTGCACTCTTTTTTAGGAGAGTAGGTACCTGAGAAGTAACTTTTACTGTCAGAAGGGAACTGGGTCTTTTGTGAGCTGAGGGTTAAATAGGAAGATGACCTATTTGCAGAGAGTGGTGACCAGCCAGGGAGGAAGTAGGGGTGATGGCAGCAGGCCCTGGCTCTGCTCAGCCCCCCTGAGGCTGGCCTATGCCAGGTGTGGGACCAGGAATGACAGCACCACAGACTGTGACCTGGGAGCCTTGGGCCTTAACATTGGAGGGGGTGCAAGGTCCCCAGAAGAACCTGTACCTGGGCAGGTACCTGAAGATGGCTTCCCCACAGAGAGAGATCTGTCCACAGGATCTTGTGGGACTTCCAGGGCCTACATTGTACAGTAGCAAGAATCAGTAACCCAAGTGCCCTGGCCCCATCTCAGTTTCCTCCCCTTGGAAAGCCACCACCACTGCCACTCCCAGATCAGACTGGTGAGACCAGAATGCGTGGCTTTACTTCTGCGAACACTTCAGAGAGCCAGGAAAATTCTGGAGCCGGTAGAAGTAAATCAGGAGCCATTACAATCACAAGGTTGGAATTTACAGACTCTAAAACCTATATGCAAGAAGGCTTTGATCGTGTCAGTGGCTGGCCAGACTGAGGCAATGGAGAGTGGTTGGGAGCCCAGACGCTGGCTTCAGACAGATACGGGTTTAAATCCTAGCTGTGCTACTGGCTAGCTGAGTTTCCTCAAATATAAAATGGAGATGACAATCAGCCCTCTCAGGATTCCCAGGAGGATTAAAGATCACGTTAAAAGTGTTTCGTACAAGGCTGGCCTGCAGAAGAAGTCAATAAACAATAGCTGTCACTATTAACAACAATTAGTGATCAACTCAATGGCAACTGGTTTTTTTTTTTTTTTTTTTTTAAAGTCTTGTGGAAACTACAGGGGACAAAGGGCTGAGAACATTTCTGGGAAGTAAGGGACAACAAGTGGAAATGAATTATACTCATGCCTATTTGATATTTTCTTCATTTAGTGAGCTGTTTCAGTTTTTTGTAATTTTCTGGACTTGAAACAGATTTTCTCTTAAGGATGTAGGGGCTGCTGTTTGCGAGCCTGTGCATTGCCTGAGGACAGGTATGGGCCACAGAAGATGGGTCCTTCAAGGAACAGATCTTGTCTTTACCTCCTTTGTGAGCCAGCCTCTTGGCGGGGTGGCCCCAACCTCCTGCCTTCCATCAGTGTCGCTCACGTGAGGCTCCTCCTATCAGGTTCTTCCTCTTTTACTGAGGGCCAAGGAAAAGTGTCAAGTTCTGAAATCACCTTTCTTTTTTTTTTTTTCTTCTTCTTCTCTACAACATGGAGAATAATAGTACAGAAAAAAATAATCCAAATAACAATACTGGAAATCATGGCCTAGCCAAGTTGACACGCATTTTGTGGGGGACACA